CGAAGACCATGGGTAGTATTGGGTAACAGGCAATGCGGTTAAAGAAGAATTGGGAATGGCTTAAATCAAATGAGCGAACCGGGGAGGCAGCGGATAGTTTATACAGAGGGCAATTGTTGGTTCGGTTCAACTCAGATATCAGAAAAATGGTGCTGCAGTAAACGGTCATTCGTTCTTACGGATGATGAGCGAACAATGGTTTCAGGAGCGTGATTGCAGAGTGCTACAAAAAATATCCGGAACGAGGACCAAGTGATACTAGGCCGCAGGTTGAGACCAATCACAGAGCGATCGATAACAGAATAAGCGTAAAGGAAAAACAAACTGCGAGGGTCAGACAGTCACGCGCGCGCACAAAATCAATACAAAGTGGCACAGCAAACCAAGGCCGGGAATGAGAACAGATAATAGGCAACATCGTGACCATTCAACGAAAGTGCAGTCGGGACCAGAGGGTANAAGGAGTGGGCCTGTGCGTGAATATGTGAGAACGGGGCATTTATAGGAACTGAACGAAAACGTCACCGTTGAGCTCCTTGAGAAATCAAAATGTTCGGTTTCCCAGTTAGGGTTATTAGGGTTGATCTTGATCGGTGACTGATTTGTTTTAGACGAAGAGCAATGCCTGACACCGTCTTTGGTATAGCCATTGTTTTTGTTAGAACTCTGCCAACACCAGCCCGGTTGGTTTGTTGATAGTCACAATACCGTTTGCCTCTTACTGAGGTCATATAGGACTCATCGGTACAAATCTAGAGGCTAAAATCGTCAAATTAACCTCAATATCCGGCTTACATCTAGTAATTAATACTATCGGGCGAGTGAGAACAGATAAAGGCCCCAGTTCAGGCATTCTTGAGAAGAAAGCAAGAAAAAGCGCACGAAAAAAACTTACGAGAAAAATTATCCCGTGAACGACATGAGCGATGCACATGATCGCCGCGGTCCACAGAAGAACCTTCCGTCGCGGCACACGATGCACAATCGGAGCGGCGATCAGAGTAAAAATAACCTGGAAAATGCCCAGCGTCAGGGCACATGTTGAAGCCCATGAGAGGCCCGCGAACAGACAGATGGATTCGGCAAAATACAAGATTGCATTGATCCCGGTCAGTTGTTGAAACACCATGAGCAACATCGTTACACGAAGGCGGGAATGTTGGGTACGTGGAATGGCGCGACATGGAAGCAAATAGTCCAGCAATGTGTATTGTGTCTCCGCATCGGGAGCACCTTCCTCGGTGGCCTTCACGTCACTGACTAAGAGTGATCGGGAAGCCTGTCATGTATGGCGAGAAAAAGAAGCTTGATCACAATCCAGATTTTTAATCTCAAAAATTTTTGAGAAACTAGTTAAAATGCAACCTAAAAAAAGTGGTTAAGGAAAAACGTAAAAACTGAATGATACTGTGCATGTGATACAAACAAATGGAAATCACTTCTCACCGTAGCAATAAGATAGAATAGACGTCACTTTCAGAACCAAAACGTCACATAAACTCCAATAAACTAAAAAGAGAGGAGTCCGTCGGATGCCATTCTGTTGCAAAATACTAACATAATAATAGTAATAGTAATATTCATCAAATTTCGTATATTAGACATTTCGTCTTTTACGGCCGTGGTGTTCAAGGCCATCAGAATAGTCCCGGATTCGAACCGATCCACCGGAGTCCATCTTCCCCATTTCTGTATTTTCTCAGGCAGCGACTCCCTTCCTGAAAGTTGATTGTACATTTGTATATTCAATAAATAAAAAGGAACTAAAGAAAGACAAAACAAAAACGGGAAAACTTACAGACCGTCAAGAACAGTGAACTGTCTGAAACCATTAACGACTATGAGTAACGGCATTTTTAGCCGGTCTACTCGTCAACCATGTTATCTAAAAAGTCTGCCATGATCAATCACATGCTTAAACTGTGAACAATTGGCAATTCCCCATCCCAATCTTGATCAGCAAAGAGTCACAGTTACATGATTATGCCTCTCTGACTCTCTCTTTCGCTTATATATTCGTTGATTCTATTCTGTTGACCGGCCCACAACTTACTGTATGAAATTCAGTCAAAATATGATAAACCGTCTAGCTGTACACTGAGAGTCCCACTTGGCTTATACGCTTCTCAATGTCTATACACTTTTTTCCGGGTACGTGCGCAGCGAAGGAACACTACCAAGTGGTTTGATTAACGTTTTCTTCTATAATAACCAGGACAGTTGCTGGTGAATCGATCCAAACCTGATGTGTGCAATCGCGAGCATTCAATAGAACACCCCAGAGATCCTATATGAAAACTGACGAGCAAAGTTCTGAAAGGAATGTCAACCTGTGCGAATGGACTGCCCGTCCAATAGAATGATCAATGTGATCATGGTCAGCTGCAATGACCAACGGACTGTGAATACTGTCGTGTTTTACGCATGATCTATCGGCAGTTGTTGCCGCTTCACACACACACACACACACACACACACACACACATATATATATATATATATATATATATATGTAAGCCAAGTATAAGGTTTACAAACACTGGGGTTGTCGAATATGCAATCAGTGTTGGGCATAACTTCTACAGATTTGCAATACTTAAATTGAAACTCTACTGCATTAGGAACGAAATGAACAAGATCACATTGAGCGCGAATAAAAACTAGTGTTATATACTAAAGCATCTGCTGTGCCAATGAATTTACCGACGATGATGAAGCTGATCGGAGGACTGACAAACTGGGTCAGCGGACAAAAAGGGATCGAACAAACGACATGCCAACTAACAGATGATGACCGCCTCGTGTTAGAAAACATCTCTGGTAAATGTAGATATGGTGGCCCCAAAGGACGGCAAGCGTGCAGCAACAACAGAAATGAAAGATGAAAATCGGAAAGAGTAGGAGGAGCAAGACCGTTCGTTGAATGGTGGTCTATCTGAAGTGGACTTCGCAGTGCCATACAAGAATCTGAACTCTAAAAGCGATAAACGTGGTCAAATGAGTTGTTGCTGAACTGTCTTACTTTCAGCGATGGCAGATGAAAACAGGCAAACCATGAACGACAGGATACATATGACTGACAGAGTAACCAAATGAAGATACCAGTTACGGACCGCATAAATGTTGATCAAATAGCGTCACTGATCGACGACTGTAGACATCCAACAAACAGGTACTTGTACGACTGTTCTATTCAAGACTGAATAAACAGTAAGTTTGTGAATCTGGTCTCCACTTGTAATTCCACTTCAGCTTTGCCCAAACTCGAGCGAAATTAATCAAAAATAAAACCTCAAATGATCACACATGGTAAAAAAAGTACGATACAGGCAGATTCGTTTGAGCACAATTATTCGATTTTCTTGGAACAAAAATGAAGTAGGACAGTGTGATGATTAAACAATGAATCCGATCAAATTTAGTAAACCGTAAATAGGTATCAGAAGAAATCAGAAATCACGGTTGTCGAAGGAAAACTTCTAATCTTTCTGATGGGTGCTCCAAAAGACCATGCTTGGTACCTGTTTTACGACTGGCTCAGATATGAGAAACAAGAATCGATTTGTCATGCACAATCACCACGTCGCAAACCAATTAAGAA